ATGTACCTACTTAATAAGGTCCATTACAACCAATATTTTTGCGGATAATTCAATTTCTTCAAGAACTTTTTCGGCATATTCGTAAAAAAATGACTCATTATAGATATAATTCAAAATTGAATAGAAAAATAATTTTAAGAAAACCGAAATATCTAATAGTATTCAAGCTAATTATTAAAATTCTATCATTTGCGAGTGATTATTAAAATTTGATTGCATCATTGAAAAGTTTGTTAGTTGTTCTATTGAGATATTTCCTCTCAGAATTCCTTCACACTATTTTTTTATGTTTTTTTATTTCATTTTTCTCCTCCAAATGAAAAAATAAAAAAAAATCAGCAATTTTAGCCAAGGCATTTTTACATCTATGTCATCGCAATGAGTGCTATAGAAAAATTCTATTCTCTCGGTTACTCTCCATAAAATATTTGATATTTAAAATATATAACGAAAAAAAAAGGAATTTGTACCGGAACGAAATGGATAGCAATGCTATCCATACTAGATAGCAATGCTCGGTTGTCGCTGGGAAGCCACAGCCTTAAGGCTGCATCTACGACAGAGCTTGGCGTAGACATTTCACTACACTGTAGCGACTCCCTGACATGTATAGTTAGATGCAGAGGTTTTCGTATGTCGGGCTGAGAATCGGTAACGACCTCCCAGCAAAGTGTCAAAAATGCATAACATTGTAATGCTGCCTAGCCGCTGGGTTCAACCATGCAACTGCAAGATATATTTCTACCTGGGTACAGTTCATTACAATAACTACCCGATATATCGGAAAGTTAAAAATAAACGCTACTGTTCCCGATTCAAAAATATCTTCTTTAAATTCTTCAAACCAGAATAGGAACTTTTGAACTGTAAAAAAAATATTCTTGAACGCTGAATTTCTAAATTTTCACTTCAACGACATGAAATTTTTTGGAAAAAAGTACAACATTCTGTAAAGAGTACTCTACTTTCCGTGTTAGATCAATTTCATGAAGAACACGGTGAGCGTCTCGTTACGCTCTTCCCCATAAATCGCCGAAAATTTACTCAAAAACTCCTTCCTTCTGTCCTTCAATTCTTCATCCCGCAAGGTGTAATTCAATAGCACATGTTCCGATTTCCACAGCTGCCCCAAAATGTCTTCATAATTAATAGAACTCTTAAAATTCTGTGGGGCTTTAAATTTCTGTGGGACGCACGAGAATTTATTTTACGCACGACTTCAGAACTTTACGTGCGCCGTGCGTAAAACAAGCACTTTGCGCACACTAAACGGTTTCGAAAAGTGAACTTTTCAGGCAGGTATGACAAAAATATTATAATCAACGTATACGATTATCTATAATACATCTGATACGATTTTTTCCCACGTGTGTATATAAATGATTCAACCAATCATTGGTCCAGCTATTGGGAACTCTAGTACTGAATGACGTGCTCAGGTAACTTGCAGCCACTGAATGGGTATATGTATACAAAAGAGTTTTTTTTCTGCCGATCATTATTAAATTGCTCGTGATTTATATTGTTTGTGCATATCAACACAGTTCCAAAGTCATCCTAAAAGCAGAAAGAATACTATTTTGAAATAAAAAAATGGAGTTCGACATCAGAGTGACAAAAAACAAAGAATTTTACAGTGTGCCTGGCTGCAATAGTTCAGCCTGTCATAATCCTACAGTGAGATTCTTCCAATTTCCTTTTAAAAAAACAAGAGTTTCGTAAAATTCAAGACGAAATTCGGTGAAGAGGAAACAGTTGATCATGTAATTGCTTGGAGAAAAATTTTGAGAATCGGAAAGCCAGTGACAAAATCAAGGAAAGTATGTTCGTTACATTTTACTAACGACAACTTCTTCACTCAATGGAAGTTCAGCTGAGTATCTAATGAAATTATTCATTTTTCTATTGCCAGTTGATTTTTCTGTGATCCCTCGTGAAATAAATTGACTTTATTCATTTCAATTGTAGTCGAAAATCGTAAAGCTATTCACTTAAAACTCATAAGTGTCCCATCTTGTAATTTGCCAAAGAGACAGCAAATCGACACAATTCTTACATAGACACTTTCATGATCAATCGACCCGTGGAATCTCATTGAAAACCTTACAATTTTTAATTACTCCAATTGTTTACAAGGGAGATAACCGTGGTGGCACCAGTTTTCGAATGGTTAAGGAGTACCCACCCATTAGCATCGAATTATCCGTCTTTTCCAGTTAAATGTGAAATATTAACTTTTACAAGTCAATTCGGATGTTTTTCCGATAGAAAGACACTTGATTTTGATTGAAAAAGTTGGGAATTGTATGAATATTTGCGAAAATAAAACATGGTGCCCCGAATCCAGATATCGAATGTCCAAAACCGACCCACCCCAATTGTCGAATAACATGGGCGCAGTTTTCGAATAAAGCGAAATAAAGGAGTTTAGGCGAAGAAAATTTAGGAAATGGTTTATGAAAAACATATCCAGAGCAATTTTATTATTTCAACAGTAAAAACCCCATTAAAGACTAGCGAATGAGCTCTCTTCAACTGTTTCCCCCTCGCCGCTTTCTGCAATGGCAAGGGGGTGAAGGGGAAACAGTTGGAGCAACGTTGTGGCGAAGAAGCTTCTTTGTCACAACATTGGGACTTTTCTTCTTAGCTTCTTCTCTTTCAAATCCTTCTCTTTTTTTTGATTGCATGAGCTCATTTAGTAGCCCCCTGTTGAATTTTCAATTCATGTTTATTCTAGACAGGTATGAAATCGTTTATAAGGTTAGAAAGAATACATTCGCCAAGTCCTCCCACCTCGTATTCTGTGAACCCAAATCTCGAACACCGTATTTCTTATATATTTTTATTTTGTTTTAATCTATATCGATTCAAAAATTATCCCTCACCTCATAGAAACTGATTGAGATCAATTGTTTGCTTACATTTTGTGTCCAGATCCTTATATAGTGTGACTGAATCCAACCGTCTGTGCACTATATAAGGCTCGATGAACAGATTAGTCGATCGAACACCCCGGATTGCACTCTGTGTAATGCATATAAATATTGTAATTCGTGCAGAAATAACTGCACTTTGAGAGGAAAGCAATGGAAATGGACTTCAATGCCTTTGCATACTCCTTCGTTCGAAATTATGCCGCACGGGTGCTCCAAATTCGGCTATTTGAGTCCCATTCGAAAGCTAGTGCCACCACGATATACGATCGTACTGACGATTACCTGTTCACGCTAGTTCAAATTGCGGCCGCAAGGCGGCCAAGGCATTGCCCCCCCCCCCTCTAAGTTCCCAACAGCTTCGAATTTTTTAATTCTGTAGGGCTTTTCCATCTGTTTTGCAGCATTTACAGATCGAAAAAAATATTTTTAAGTTCTGACTTCTTGGAGAATTTCTGTTTGCTTCAGAAGAGTTTAAAACATATTTTTCGATTTTTGATACGGGCAATTCCACCAAATTTGAATATTGAATGCTGTCTGGTATAATATAGAGGTTATTTTCAATTCTTCGTCAGAAAGGATGGTTCCAAATTACGGTGTAGATCAGGGAGTTAAATATTATGACAATAATTCGAATCATAAAAATTGATTGAGAATTTTGAACGAAAATTTCTCCCCCTCTCCTATCGACGAACAATAGAAGTTTTGAATTGCAGATCACGAATTGGAACTGGATGAATGAAAACAAATTTTATTACTACACTGAGAGGAAAATTTCCTAATACGTAAGGTAAATAACCCTACGCTCGCCTAGCTAGGGTGAACACATCATTAGTCCAATATTTCTATCGAAATGAGCGTGAAGATGCGATGATTTAAATTACATATCAAAGGGTAAAACCTTCAGAATTGGAATTTATTTATATTAATTATGATAATTACTATTTTTCAATAAATAATCGTCCATGAATGTGAAAAGTCCCATGTCCCTACGCTCGTTCATTTGTCCCCATGCTCGTTTGACATATGCCCCTATCCTCGTCTCGTGATTAGAGTGATATGGAAAGGTTATATCCGAACTAATTACATCGTGAGTATCCTATTTCGGAATAAAACAACATTAAAAAATATCTCGATGCACAAAATTATATTTCCATTGGACAGTCCAACCTTTTAAATGATTTTTCATCCGTTTAAGCCGTTACCAGTTGACAGTTGGATGCAAAACGAGCGTAGGATCAATGCTATTTTCATTGTACCTATTCTTTTAATTGGCAATATTTCAGTGAAATATCCGGATATTACTATAATTTATGCATTTTTATTAAATTTTTAACTATTCGAAACCTTAGCTAAGGGATTTTTAATTCCATTTTACTATTGTAACGGAGCTATCAACGTTTTAAAATTGTGAGTTTCTTAACTTGTGGCTTAAGAATTAACTCTGTCGTAGCACGAGTTGATGTGAATGTGTTTTTTCTTTCTTATTATTCAATAAATCACTCTGGATTGGTGTCTATAACTTTTCTTATTGACTAAAATAATAACTCCAATCGTACTTCACTCTTAATAGACTCTTGGGACTATAAAAATGATTGAAATGTCATAGCTGGCAGGATCTGAACGAGCGTAGGGACAAAGACGGGCATAGGTACATTTACCTTGGACCATATTTACTTGAGAGAAGTAAATTATTTTCAATGGTTCAAATCTCAGAATGTTTGCAGTTCACGAAACTCAAATGGATTCTCATTTATCACTATCGTTGCGCATTGTATCATGAATATATTACGTATCGAAATATTGGAACTGCATAACAAAAAAATTATGAAAACCATAAATAGTATACTTGAAGATTGACAATTCTTCTACGCGACTTGAGTGAGTTCATTTGCGATGAAATCCTACTTGAGTACAAGAATTAGTTAAAGCATGAGACCTTTCTGGGGTCCCGTGAGTTGAGATGTCTCAGATACTTAAACAATTGAAGAAAAATTACTTGCCTCAAGAAAATATGTTTCAGATACCAGAATTTTTTTTCTTTGTGTAGTATAAATTCAATTGCAGTTCGAGAATTCATTGTTTAATTAATACAAATATCTGTATGAATTATTTTCAAGAAGGAGGAACATAAATTCAGATTTTGTTGATTTAGATAAGTGTTTCATAAAAAGAGAGCCTTGGTCCTCTTCTCCTTATTAACAATCACTTGAGCCATGTCCTATTTTCCGAAGGCAAGATGGACTGACACCTGAACCACAGTTTTTCCTCTGGAGAGATAAGAACTTTTTCCACGAATTCAGCATGAAAATCTGTGTCCGTCGCGAACCATCCAGACATTATTAAATTTAATATTTCCTTCCTCCTTCCCACTAATTCTTCATCCCTCAGGATGTGATTGTATAAGTTGACATCGTGCAATGTCTGTAACATAACCAACACTTGACAATCAACAGCAGCCTTTTTCAAATTCTTCGGTTTCATTGCCCAAAGTTCATAAAAAATCATGCGATATTTCACATCATATTCAAGGAATCGATCTTGAGAATGAATATTATTAAAAATATCACATAATATGGTAGCATAGTCAAGCGTATCGTTATGATCCGCAGATTCTCTGAGCGCCACCAGGAATAGATTTTCATAAGGCCAGCACTCTAATAGCTGTTTCAGTACACTCGTAAAACCCAATAATTTAATCTTTACATCATCGAGATTGTAAAGAGATGATTTTTGCAGGAAGAATAAAATAAAAAAGGACCCTATTTTTTGCCCTGGACGAAGCAAATCTCGTGCAACGGTATCATCCTCACAATTGATTAATATTTGACCAATATTCGTAATTATTCTAATCTTTTGGTAGTCGTCCAATAACTTCCAAAAATATTGAAAAGCCGAATAATTGCCACCGACAAACGCATTAAGAAACATAATCTCTGGGAGCTGATAATTAGGATCATAATAATCAAGATTATATATGCGAAATGAGCTAAGAATGTCACTGCTGATCTCGCCATCTAGCTCATTCTGCATACGAGCCATCCAATAAACTGGACAAACATCTTCCAATCCATAATGAACGTTCATATAACGATCTCTCCAATTAATAATTCGCTCCACATCTGGTAGTTTTCCCCAAAGATCTATGATACAGTCTTCAAGGCAACATCTGCAGAATACAGCCCACGTAGCGGAACTCACTGGGAGGCAGTTGGAAAAGTACAATGATCTTAGTGTGTCAGCTATATCCAAAAATTTATAATCAATCCAATGAATGTGCTCCATGTAATCGCCGAGATTGTCCCATTCCTGATCTAAGGACCCTATTCTAACGCCACGAAACACAACTTCTAAATCATTAAAAATATCCAATATCTGCGATCCCATTGCTCCCACTGCGAACATTAATTCATCTTTTACTGGTTTAGAGAGAATCAAATGATTCAGCACACTTGTTACAGTACGAGGCATTATCGATCCGGGATAGGTTTTATCTCTTATGCAGGATTCCATAGCGTCTCTCAAGGCCGAATGCCTCCATAGCTGTTTGGAAACTGCAATCGCTGCCAATCGGCAGAGACTGAAATCTCCGTGATATATTGTCATGGTCGTAGTTGAAAGAGTCCTAACCTCATTCGTTTGTTCTTATTTTTATATCACATTCTTCCACTGGGGAGGTCACCTGAGGAAAGATTTATTCAGCGGTGAATTTTACTTTTTTGGAGAAATACTGATAATGAACGAATGTCACTTTTATTAACATTAGTGAATGGAAATAATCATCACCTTACACTTTTTTTCCAGTACTCGTTGCAGAGAATATCAAAGGGAAATGTTTCAATTGGAATTGAAAGGTCAATTTCAATTGTTTACTGTCTCCAAGTCTTCTGTTTACTTTTAGTTTCAACTGTTTCTACTGGGACATCTCCCTCGTCGACCCAAATAGAGGAAGTTATTTCTATACACAATTTGTCTATAAAAATTTCTATGAGAAGCTTACAGACATCGCCACTTTGTGAATTTCCAGAATTTCGTGAGAATAATGACAATAAACAAACAGGAGCAAGACTTATGAAATTGTGAATAATTTCATAGGCCCCAACGCTTCAATGAATCTTATAAGGATTGTAACGAATATGTTGAGGGTATGTTCATTAACAACACTAGCACGATCTGATAACCTATCACCGCTTCGAGAGCGTGAGGGTACCTAACCACGATCGTTCTGTTCTGGGGACCTATTCTCGAGTGGATCGGAAATATTTCCGTTAAGGGTATTATGGCGGGGTCCATAGCTAGAAAAAAAAGCAGAGAATTCAATGAAAATTGCTGAACAGATGATTCGATCCATTTGAAAGCCGTGTGCAAAATGACAAGATCCCTACTTAAACAATAGTAATGGGAATAATTTTTGAAGTTGCTACTTTTACACGCGGTTGACTGGAGCATCGGTAATTTTAGTGCTTTTCCTACGTTATTGATCTATCGATAACGTAGGAAATTTACAAAAATTACCTATGCCCCATTCAACTGCGTGTAAAAGTAGCAACTTCAAAAATTATTCCCATTATTATTGTTTAAGTAGGGATCTTGACATTTTGCACGCGGCTCTCAAATGGATCGAATCATCTGTTCAGCAATTTCCATTGAATTCTCTGATTTTTTTTCCAGCTATGGACCCCGCCATAATACCCTTAACGATCCAACCTTGCCAATCAGATTTGCGCTCTACGGGCAACTAACTCACAAAAATACTCACCTATGGTGAAGCATGCCCAACTATACACGTGAAAGAAAAGGCACTTTTTTATACGCATCACACGCAATGAACCGGCTTTTTCTCATAGGATTACAAAATGTTGTAGGATACATACGAAAAAAAGGACTTCCTGAAGAGTGTGATTTCATTCTTACACTCGGCAGCAACTACTTTTTTGCCCGATATCACATGATTACACATTTGTCTGAAAAAAGTACCATGAAGGTAATTGGCTTTAGAGTCCCTTTTTGTGGGTCTCTTTCGGCACACTATCCAACCTCATGCACGCGGCTGTGGATTCTATACACTGTACACGGAGAGAAAAATCTCTCAAAAATTAGTGTACCTTCTCACCAACGCATGGGATTTACCGAAAGGGGCACAAAAGAATGGAGAATACTCTATACAAATTGGATTCTGACAATCATAATTCAGACTACCTCTCTCCAAACTTTCGTGTGCCAGCACCCGACTTCTTTCCGCTCATTAGAAACTAGTTTGAGGAATCGTATTTTTATGGAACCAGAGACGAAAAACTGGCGGGGCCCTCTCCACATTTTAGTGTGCCACTCACTGAATTTTCGTTTGCTCTCCTTTACTAAGTAGTGACCTCTGTGATTGGAAAAATGAATTGGCCTCGCAATGCACGTGGAGTACCGCATGGAGTGCAAATTTTAGTGGATGGCATACTAATTTTTGAATACCCGAGCGCGCGACTTCGTAGAGTGCCACCTACTATTTTCTACCTTGCTCCTCCGAATGATAGGAGTGTTACATTTCTCCGATACGTCCCCGAGTCGGTGGACACACTAATTTTTGGAGGGACCTTTCACGAGATTGTCGTGTATTTTTCTCTCCGTGTATAGGCAAACTGACGAGTCTGTTCCCTTCGTAGCTATCCCCACTTCGGCTAATCCCCACGCACATCCATATCTCCCACCTCTGAAAACGAAGGGAACGGACTCGCCAGTCCAACAGTACCGCATTCGCCCTCCTATAGAGCATAGTGGTAGCATAGGAAACCACAGAAAATCAGTGCAGGCTAGGAATGGCCGATATTTTAAGGATGCCAAGTGGGTCAAGTGCACAACTAAATTGATCATTTTTTTCAAAAACCTTGCATAATAAATTGTGTTAACTTGATTAATTCACCTCGCCAGTTTATATTCAAATTGAGTTGGGATGTAATACATGTAAAATTTTATTTTTATTTTTTTCGACCAAAAAATATTTGTGTTATTGACTAAATGGTGATATCCGGTGGGAATCGTGGCAACACCGCTGCTGTCAGCTGATGGTAGAGGCGCGAGGGTTTGTTGATATTTGAACGGGTGTTGGAGGTTATACATGCCTGTGAACAAACCATGGCCTCAGACAAAAATAAAAATTTATTGCGTGACAAAAGGGGACAGTTTATCTCCCAAAAATGTAAAATTCGTGAAACCAGGTCTCGAGAGGGTGTAAAAAATCATCATGAGCAACAAAAATTACTGAAAGAAAGTGCAAAAAAATCAGAAGCAAGAAAACCGAAGGAAGAATCAAAGGAAGAACCTTTCATTTTCCACGCACGGCGCTCTACTACTCATTAATATATCCAGATTCAATCTAATGAATTTTTTAAGAGGGAAATGTCGAGAAACACATTTTATTGGACATTTGGTTATAGCCATAACAAGATCCATTAAAATGATTTCCCGAGATGAATAGATCCTGAGACCAATATTCTTTCGCACAATTCGTTTGAAATTCAATTATAAACACCATTCGAGTCTCATTGATTGATAATTACGTTTGAAATCCTAAAATTCACTTTGAAAAAACATCCATCGTGAGTGACAGGTAGGGTTATGTTGACGGGGGGCGTACAAGCGGAGTAGGACAGCTGTGTGCGCTGTTGTCGCGTATCATCCATTTTGCTACGAGCGATTTTTTTCCCCGGAAGTGAGTCGAAAAATTAAGATTTCGTTCTTATTTGCCCCGGTTCCTCTGATTTCGCCCGGATCAATCGATTCAGCTTTTTTTTTTACATCTTTTCCATATTTTTCGGAATTTTTCATGAATCTCTAAATTGGCCAATCTTTTATTTTAGTGCATAACCTCATAAGAGTCAATGCTGGATCTTCAAATTTTGTTTATTTAAATTCTCAATAATTAATACCGGTTGAAAGATCAAGATTGTCATCTCAATTTTTTAAATATTTCTCGCTATTACAGGAAAAAAAATTGAATTTCTGTTGATTTATTAAACATTTTCACTTGGCACCCTTAAGGAATTAAATGTTCGGGAAGGCCTTACTCTTCCGTTGGAGGCGGAGCTAGGAAAGAGATAAACGAAGAGAAAGAATCTGCCTGTTTCACTGTACACGCCGAGGGTAATTTTACTGCGCAGTCCCGTCGCATAGAAGGACACACAAATTTACCCAAACACATTTACGTTGTCGATGGTAGGGGAATCAACTTCGACTGAAATTTTAGGGAACTGAAGCGTTAGGGAGTAAGCACTGTACCATGCAAGTAGTATCACGTGACTTCAAACGATGAGAATAATATATTTTTGGAAAAAGGTCAGCAGATTTTTCAATTTCTATACAATTCATTCTGTCATTGGAAAGCTCCAGCGAGAGAACAAGAAAAATTCAAGCCGAAGAATTCCTGTACAAACAATCTTTATGGGACAAGCTGTATCGAAAGTTTGATTAACATTGATTTTGCGAAATAATTTTTATTGAATATTTATATTTTTTTTAAATGCGTAGAAAATGTATACTATTTTTCAATAGGATCCGTGCAAACTTAGTAGAATTTTCAATACAACGCGGGAAGAATTTTGTTGAAGAAAAGTAACATGACGCTAACAAAAAATAAAATTCTTAAAGATTCAAGAGTGAATGGAAATTTTACTGATCGGATTCCTTTTTATTTATGACTCATAATTATTCAATGGACGATTGTTTTTTATCTTTACAATTTTTAAAAATGATTCTTTCAAAATCTCTATATTGTAAAAATCCAAATCGACTTCCGATGAAAATTCGGCGCTCGAAATAAGATTCCAAAATTAAGGATCAGAAATGAAGGGTCAACTGAGGCTCAAGGGAAAGCTCTCATGTTCGACTACAAACGTAGAAACGCATTTCACTGGAGAAAAAATGATCAAAGTACTTGGATATCCTTAACCCTCTGAAGTGAATAGGTTTTTCTACCACTCTACGTACATTCCGTAAGAATTTCCCGTTCCCACTCCGCCGGACAAAGTACTACTCAGGCCGACTTTCACTTTAGAGGGTTAAAATCCCTAGTGATTCATTTTATATAATATTGAAAAATGGATTAAAACGTATGATAATTATTTTGACCAAAACCTTCCGCCTAATAATGCGCAAGACGGTGGAAACCCATTAGACTATAAGATAAACATGAAGAGCGTTAATTACAACTTCAATGGAGTTTGAATAGAGGCAATGCGGTAGAACCACGCTGGTCTTCTAATACGAACGCGTTTCAGCCTACATACTCTCTCCATGCGATCCTTCGCCTTCAAGGATCAGTGGCGTTTCCAGGCGTTGCTATTTCAAGATAGATCCCAACTTGACCCCAAGTGCCATCCATGCTCACGATGGAAACAGGCTCAGCGTTACGCCAGTAGATTCAAACGACAAATAAACAAAAAGGCTTGGAACGCAGTAAATAATTGAAATCGACCACTAAAAGCACTCAATACTAATTAATCTATTTCTCTTTGACCATCTCCACAATGAGCATTGGAGAAAAAGCATAAGGTAATAATTATTTCCATTCAGAAATTTCAATGAAACTTGAATCCGTTAATTATCATTATTTCTCCCAATAAAAAAAATTCGCCAATGAATTTAATCAATCTCACTAATCAGTTTAATCTATTTCTCGTCAGGTGATCTCATTAATGGAAGAACGCGATATAAAGATGACCACAAAGGAATGAGGTTAGGACTCCTGCAACTGCCACAATGATAACCTATCATGTCGATTTCAGTCTTTGCCGATTGGCAGCCATGGCAGTCTCCAAACACCTATGGAGGCATTCGCACTTGAAAAACGTCCTGGAATCCTTCCTAGAAACGGGGGTCACTCGTAGAGATGAGACAGTGCCTCGTGCTATAACAAGTGTGATGAATCAGTTGATTCTCCCTGAGCCAGCGAAAGAGGAATTGATGCTCGCAATTGCAACAATGGGATGGCAGATGTGTGATGTTTTCAGCGAGTTAGAATGGATCTACCCTGACGTTATTGGAGATGTATCAAGGCAGAAGCATGCCCAAATCAGTAGTTACATGGACCGCATCCACTGGAGGAACGATCGATGTTTACATCTAGCTGATATAATGAGAGCATTGTACTACTCCAAATGCTTCTCAGAGAATTACACAACGTGGGTGGAGCTGTCCAGATATTGCCTTGAGGACTGCATGAATGATCTTTGGCCAAAACTATCGGAGATGGAGCAGTCGGTTAGTTGGAGAGATTTACACGATATCATCCATGATCTTGGCTTTGATAAAAAACATGAATGTGACTATATTCTCCAAATTTATTGGGTCGCTCGTATGAAGAATGAGCTCCCCAATGCAACAGGTGCTTCATTTCGAGTATGGAATGCAAGTTATTATGATGGGGTTAGTTCGCTTTCAGAGGTTATAATTGTCAATTCATTTGTCAGTGGCAATTATCAGGCACTCCAATATTTTTGGAAATTATTGGATGACAAACAAAGAGTGAGAACAATTACGAATATTGGTCACATAATCAATCATGAATATTCCCATGGTGCTAACACTTTTCTTCTGAAAGAGAAAAGGGGAGGGAATTACTTCCTTTCATTCCTTTTTCAGCAGCTATCTTTTTATCATCTCGATGACGTGAGGATCGGATTATTGCGTTGGGGATTTGTGCTGCGACAGATGTTGAACTGGCCTCATGATAATCGATTTTTGGCGCTGCTCAGAGAATCGTTGCTCTATCACGATTCCATTGATTACGGTCCAATATTCGTAGGTATTTTTAACAATATCGATGACCTGCACCAATTCATTCAATATGATGTGAAGTATCATAGGATTTTCTGTGAAATTTGGACGATGAATCCGAAGAATTTGAAAAAGTCTATCAATGACGCTGAAGCCTTGGGGTTATTAGAAAAATTGAAGAACGTGCGATTATACAATTACATCTTAGAGGATGAAGAATTAAAGGGCATGAGGAAGACGTTGTTGAATAAGATAATGGATGGGTGGCGCAGCATTGACTCTCATTTTGAGGAGGAATTCATCGCAAAAGTTCTTGTCTCTCAAGAAGAACGAGAGTGGTTCAAGTATCAAATCAGTTGGCTTCCGGGAACTAGGAGAAGGCTGGAGTGAGGGCCAGGGCTCTGTTTTTATCAAAAAATTATCTGAATCAATGTAACGTGAAGTTATGTTTGTCCTTGGGCTTGAAAATAATTCAGATATTTGAATCAATTAAACAGTGAATTTTCCAACTGAAATTGAATTTATACTCCAAGCAATATTTGTTTTCATTTATTGAGCTCTAATTTCCTGTATTGGAAAACTATATAAGATGTTCCAACATTCTCATCGTAAGTTGAAAAGTGTGAAAGACAGCGAGATTCTCATTCTAATTTCTTCGAGTTTTGGATCGTTTTTGTGATTTGAATCATTTTCATTAAAGAACAGGAAACAACCTTGTAATTTCTCCAGGTAGTATTCAATATTTAGATTAGATTGATTTGCTAATTCAGAAAACTAAAAAATGTTTTTTACTTTTTCTGTAGAAAAAAAAATCCTTCAAAAATCAGTGCCCGGTGCTCGCTCCCGGATTGGAGTGTGACCGGTTGGAATGAGTTGAAGTGGGTGTGACCCATTATGAATCGAACCACCAACTTGCCGATTAATTCTCTTTTCTTGTTCATTTAAGGATGCCAAGTGGGTCAAGTGCACAACTAAATTGGTCATTTTTTTCAAAAACCTTGCATAATAGATTGTGTTAACTTGATTAATTCATCTCGCCAATTTATATTCAAATTGAGTTGGGATGTAATACATGTAAAATTTTCTTCTTATTTTTTCGACTAAAAAATATTTCTTTTATTGACTAAATGGTGATATCCGGTGGGAATCGTGGCAACACCGCTGCTGTCAGTTGATGGTAGAGGCGCGAGGTTTTGTTCATATTCGAACGTGTGTTGGAGGTTATACATGCCTGTGAACAAACCATGGCCTCAGACAAAAATACAAATTTATTGCGTGACAAAAGGGGACAGTTTATCTCCCAAAAATGTAAAATTCGTGAAATCAGGTCTCCAGAGGGTGTAAAAAATTATCACGAGCAACAAAAATTACTGAAAGAAAGTGCAAAAAAATCAGAAGCAAGAAAACCGAAGGAAGAATCGAAGGAAGAACCTTTCATTTTCCACGGACGGCGTGTAGTAGAACTTGATACGCTAGGTGATAATGAAAACACCGTCATTTTCATCAGGCTGTGACAAAAAGTGAACTTTTCGACACACCCCGCGTGCCTAAAAGTCCAATTTCCACCACATTGTGATGAAAAATATTGTTCGTAATACTATTATAATATACTATTTCTTAATCACCCATCCCTCACCCCCAGACTCCAATATTTCTTTATTCTCTCCACTAGTCATTAATATATCCAGATTCAATATAATGAATTTTTTAAGAGTGAAATGTCGAGAAACACATTTTGTTGGACATTTGGTTAGTCATAACAAGATCCATTGAAATGATTTCCCGAGATGAGTAGATCCTGAGACCAATGTTCTTTCGCACAATTCGTTTGAAATTCAATTATAAACACCATTCGAGTCTCATTGATTGATAATTATGTTTGAAATCCTAAAATTCACTCTGAAAAAACGTCCATCGTGAGTGACAGGTAGGATTATGTTGTCGGGGGGCGTACAAGCGGAGTAGGACAGTTGTGTGCGCTGTTGTCGCGTATCATCCATTTTGCTACGAGCGATTTTTTTCCCCGGAAGTGAGTCGAAAAATTAAGATTTCGTCCTTATTTGCCCCGGTTCTTCTGATTTCGCCCGGATCAATCGATTCATCTTTTTTTTACATTTTTTCCATATTTTTCGGGATTTTTCGTGAATCTCTAAATTGGCCAATCTTTTATTTTAGTGCATAACCTCATAAGAGCCAATGCTGGATCTTCAAATTTTGTTTATTTAAATTCTCAATATTTAATACCAGTTGAAAGGTCAAGATTGTCATCTAAATTTTTTTAATATTTCTCGCTATTACAGGAAAAAAAATGGAATTTCTGTTGATTTATTAAACATTTTCACTTGGCACTCTTAACAGAGAGAAAAATTTCAAAAAAGTTTCAAAATTTCGGAAAATTTACATTTGAATAACTCTACAACTACTGAGACAATTCCGCTGGAATTTCACTCCTGCTTCAGTCATACAACACTGCATTCGACAATGATGAAGAGAAATCAATTCCATCATTTCTGTAGGAGAAACAATGGAATTTACAAAACAATGATATTTTTCAACGTTTTTGCACTAGTTTTATTAATAATCTGGAAAACCGTTGAAACAATGTGGTTCAAAGTCTGATCAGCTTCAAATTACGTGAAAACGCATCGATTGCATGAAAAAACATTCGACTCGGTCGTTGGTCGCTCGCTTCCGTCGCGGGTAGGTTGAAATTCAATTGGTTTGTTGGTCGCTCGCTCGCATTGCGTATGGGCTGGAGTGGGTGGGATCGATTACGGGTCGAACCAATAACTTCCTGACCAATTCCCATTTTTCGGTTTACTAAAAAAAGCCAATTTTGACATTTCTGTCTGGATATATCGAGAAAATGGCTGAGACGATTTTGCCTGGCATCCAATAAAAATTGAATGATATATGGATGCATCGATCGTACCGAAAAAAATCAAATCCCATTATTACTCTCGGTAAAATTGTTGAATTTTTAAAGAAAACTCATTTTTTACATGTTTTATGCGAATAACTAACGAACCGCTGAGACGATCTCCATAAACTAATCAATTTTAAGTTCCATTAACATGCAACGATTGAAAAAGAAATTTAAATCGCATCATTATTCTGGAAAAAGAAGTAGAATATGTGAAAAAACATTATTTTTTACGTTTTTTCACGTATTTTCATTTTTACAAAATAATGAGCACTAACTTATATGAAGATGCATTGATTGAAGAAAAACAGTTTCATTTTAAAGGAATCGAAATTTTGGGAAATTTCATCCCAAGAGCTTGAGAACTGCTGCCCTGGCGATTGAGGTTCCATGGTACATCCATGTTGTACTCGGGAAATGATAAACAAACCCATTCCGCCCCACGGTTTCCATAATCAGGGGCAGGGGCGGGGGGGGGCAATTTGGGAAATAGCTAACAGGCCTAATTTGCCCCATTTGTTATTTTTTTTTTTTATGAGCGAGAGGGGAGGAGGGGTGTCAACACGGAAAATTGCTCGCGAAGCCATTCTGCCCTTTCTGTTTAATTTTGAAATCCATTATTGTGGGTTTCATGGGGGGGAGGAGGGTGGTGTGAACTTGGGAAATGACAAACAAACCCATTTTGCCCCACTGTTTTCCTAATGAGCGTGAGGGGGAGAGGGGGAAGTCAATTTGGCAAATAGCAAACAGACCCATTTTGCCCCATTTGTGTTTTCTTTTCTTATGAGCGAGGGGACGGATGTCAAGTCGGGAAACGACAAACAAACCCATTTTGCCCCATTTGTATTTTTTTCTTTTGACCGAGGGGACGGATGTCAAGTCGGGAAACGACAAACATACCAATTTCACCCAATTATTTTCTTAATAAGCGAGAGGGGTCGAGGGGGGAAGTTAATTTGGGAAATGACAAACAAACCCATTTTGCCCCATTATTCTCTTAATGAGTGCGAGCGGGGTGGGGGGGTGTCAACTCAAAAAATGATAAACAAACCCATTTTGCCCCACGGTTTTCATAATCAGGGGCAGGGGGGGGTCAATTTGGGAAATAGGTAACAGGCCCATTTTGCTCCATTTGTTGTTTCTTTGTTAATGAGTGCGAGGGGAGGGGGAGTGTCAACTCGGGAAATGACAATCAAACTCATTTTGCCCCACTGTTTTCCTCATGAGTGTGGGGGGGAGGTCAATCTGCGAACTGGCTCACAGACCCATTTTGCCCCATTTGTTATTTTTTTTCTTAATGAGCGAGAGGGCGGCGGGGGGAATGTCGAGTCGGGAAACGACAAACAAACCCATTCCACCCCATTTTTCCTAATCAGCATGAGGGGGGAAACGTGAATTTGGGAAATGGCTTACAAAACCATTTTGCCCCATTTGTTGTATATTCCCTGATGAGCGAGAGGCGGTCGGGGGAGTAGGGGGGGGAGGAGTTAATTTGGGAAACGGCTCAAGAACCCATTCTGCTCCTTCTGTTGAATTTTGAAATCCATTATTGTGGGCTTTATTTCGGAAGGGAGGGGGGGTGTCAACTCGGGAGATGACAAACAAACCCATTTTGCCCCATTATTTTCTTAATGAGGGTGAGGGGGCGCGGGCGGGAAGTGAATTTGGCAAATAGCAAACAGACCCATTTTGCCCCATTTGTATTTTTTTTCTTATGAGCGAAGGGACGGATGTCAAGTCGGAAAACGATAAACAAACCCATTTTGCCCCATTCTTCTCTTAATGAGTGCGAACGGAGGGAGGGGGGTGTCAACGCGGGGGATGACAAACAAACCCATTTTGCCCCATTATTTTCTTAATGATGGAGAGGGGGGGAGAGTCAATTTGGGAAATAGCAAACAGACCCATTTTGCCCCATTTATATTTTTGCTTCCGAATGGAAGCTTTGTAATCGGTCGATTTTTCGATTCGCTAATTTTGCTTGGAAATGATGTAGAATGGTCTGAAACGTAAAAATACGAAGTTTGAGGACCATGTATGTACGTGTGTCCGAAAGTGTGGGTCGATTTTTTCGAAAATTTTTATAAATAACGACAAATAAAGGACAAAAGTTAAAGCTAAAAATCTGAAATTTTGTTACATAGTTGGTATTACTTTGGAGCATTTCTGGGCGCAGTTTCAGCTCAATCGGCCCAGTAGTTTTGGAGATACAGCAATTTCTCAAAAATTTTTTTGCTCAATATCTCAAAAACTACATGACCGAATTCAATTTTTTTGATGCCAAAATCTTCCTTGCGACAATATCTGTCGAATCAAATCATAATATTGCTATGAAACCATGGGCAACCGAATAATAATTGGCATTTTTCATTTTTATGAAAAAATCGTTGTAAGCACGATAGCGCCTTGAAAACTCAAGATAGAAAGTTGAAATTTGGTACGACTGTAGTTTTTATGATATTACAGAATGGGATTGTGGATGAGCTGAATCGGACAAGTAGTTTAGGAGATATTCAACTTTTTGTGAAAAACTGTAATGCTCATTATCTCCAAAACTACTGGTCCGATTGACTTTTTTTTTTTTCAAAATATTCGTCATGGTATCTTCTATCAAGATCAATCAAAATATGCATAGTCGCCCATACAAAGTTTTCAAGATATCACCGTTTTTCTAGTTTTGTAAATTAAAATCCAATGTGGGCTCTATAATGAGCGTTAAACATGGACTAAACATCTGAGATTCTGGCTACTATTTTGCATGGTTGGCCTACATTCGTGTATAAAATTTTGTGCCAATCGATTCAGT